CATTCATTTTCTTTTCCGTTCAGCAATTCATTCAAACCATTCAGCTATTCCATCCATTCGTTTCTCATTCCAATATCCACTTGCCGTCCTCTTAAGCTGAAGCTTTGTAGCGCTTGCTCGCAACTATCTGATTCATTATTGTGTTATGCCACCACGAAACGAGAACAAAAAAAAGATTTGCACCTCACGGTGCTAGCTAGCATTTCAGTAGCAATTCATAACCACAATAATAATTGTATGCGATTATCGTTTTTTTCTACGGTCATTATTCATGATTTCTCTCCTTAAACGTTGTGCTCATTTCAAGCCTTCAATCAGCTCACCCGATAGTTTTTAAGGAACTATTGCAAACGCTCAATCTATCTTAAATCCGATTGATACTCAGGGCATCTCATGTTGTTGATCAACTTATTTTCGAGATCTATTTCCGGCATGAATATCAAACTTCTTATAAATGCTTCCAGTTTAGGTTTCATTGCAAAGTGTTCAAACTGTCCTAAACATTTTCAAGCAGTTTTCTGAAGTGATCTCGATCTCGTGATCTCGTCACTATTATAAAGTGGTCAGGTGATCGCTATGAAATGGATTTTCTTCATGAAAAAAAGACAAACTTTTATGATATCGAACTTGTGGAGTTTTTCGAATGAAGCAGGCAGCACATTATTTAGATCAGCCAACCACCATTCCCACTCAACACATCGATCGAGTAATTCTTCTGTTCCTACACATCATCCAGACTTAATCGATTGTTTTGTAAAACTTGATGGACTATTTATCTGATATAAAAGCTTACAAGTAGTAGCTTAAATTGAACGGAAACTGCATTCGATAGAAATCAGTTTGCAATTGAACAGCTGTGAATGTGATTCGTTGCTATCAATGATATAACAGGACTGATTATCTTGTGAAAAACAAGCCAGTTTCTTCAGTGAGCCAGAAAAAACAATGACACGATTTTGTTTAATATCAGTAATAATGGTGTAAATGGTATTGTAAGTAGTTAATTTGATTTTCATTGGGCTTTTTTGGGTAAATAGTGTTGTTGTGAAGTAATATTACATGCCTAAAGCACGTCAGAGTTTTTTGCTGCAATCATTTCGTCAACAATTCCTTCCATTTGTCGGTAAAAAGTGAAGAACTGTTCAATAATGTCCACAAATATATGAAAAAAAGGTACCAATCATGCCTGTCATCATGAAAACAAATCTGCAAAAGAGCTTTCACTTCTCTATTTACTGCCTTTTAAAATCTTCATTTGCAATTTTTTGAATTCAACATTTTCACATTCTGACAAACCGCAAATATTCACACTCAAAGAAGTAATATTTTTCACAATCCGAAATCGTTTGCTCAATAATCAGGCAAACGATTTCTGAAATATTTCATTTTATATACAATTTGCAAAAGGTTCAAAAATTACGCTACGCTTTTTTGTTGGACAACTGGCATAGATTAGCTGCAATAGAGCAATTCATTCAAGTGAAATATGAGACAGTAATTGTTGCGAATTCTCCGTCAAATAATAATCGATTTGTGGATTTTTTAGAGAGTTGAGGAGATGGCGGTTAAGAGAGAAACTAGCAAGATCTTGCAGAATATTTCTATGTTCAGTATGAATTCAATATGTCGTCATAATGCAATATTCAACTATATTTGCAAATAATCCAATCGCTGAACACTGATTCGTTTGTTTGATTGATCTGCATAAATCAATGAGAATATGTCCTGTTTGCAAGTGGAGTTGATAATTGCGTGATATTACGACGACGATCTATTTGTGATTCTGAAACTATCGAGTTTCATCGATGATAGGCATTAAGATGGTTTCGTAATGGTAAGTTGAGGCTGTAGAGCTATGATCAAGGCCAGGAAGAATCATCTCTATAACATCTAAAATCCAGTATTCATGGATATACCACCAATATATTGTGTTCTGTGATATCCAATCCAAATCATGCAAACTATTGGATCTTTGCAGAAGCTCAGGTCTTCTAATTCCTTGTATCACATACGGCATATTAACCAACCAGTCCCCTCTTAAAATACCTACACTTAAAATACCTAGGGTATATTACTAAAGTAGTTTTCTTACCTGCATGCAGTGAATCAATTGCTGAAGAAGTCAAACTGTGTGCAGATAAATTATTTTTAACATGATACAGCAAATGAATGTCAAAATGTAAAAGTTATTTAGATGGTTGATTAGGTTAGCCGTGTTTCTATTTGGAAAACAAAATGGACAGATGCTATCGCAAATGTTCATTTTGTCATTTAATGGAAATGTTAATTATTTTTGTCATTTACTGAATATTATCTGAAGTGAATCTATCTGATTGATGGATGTGTCACATAGAATCATCCCTATCCTTATTAGATTTAACTGATCATCATCTTATTTACACATAATCATATGTATCGTTTCTGATTGCAGTCATTTTTTCTGTTCTCCTCTGAGTTTTTTGTATATTGCGCAGTGTTTTCTCCATTGCATTTTTTCAGTGCAAATTTTAATTGTATTCAACAAGTTATGAAGTGAGGTATGGATGCATCCAAAACTTAAAATTATTAGTTTATGGGAGATTATGAGCGAAGAAAGTCTGTCGATTATTTCATCACGGTTGTTCTTCGAAATAAATGCCACAACGATACGGAGTAGCAATTGTAGGTGCTAAACGTCATGTTTGTTGATGTTATTTAGTGTAAAGAAATATTTGCATGAAAATGAAAATCTTCTCTTCAAATCCTTCAGATCCGCTTGTTTCATTGAGCACATTTACTTCATAATTCAAACTTAATAACAAATTCTGCAATTCGACAGCGATATTACGATTGTGGAATCATGTCTTAAATTCATGCTGTTCCTCATGGAACGCTGTATCGAACATTTGAAATCTTTGAACCATTTGCACTCCTTGAAACCCTTTTAATATATTTTGCTGTTTGTTTGCACTTTACTAGTCTTTAGTCTCGTCAAGAATCATCCTAATGTCATCCCCATTGCAGTTCTCCAGAAAAAAAGCACCGGATCGTTGCATATTGCAATAATCAAATTGTAATCGCTCTGTATCCATCCTCTCTTACAATCACTTACCTACAATGCTTATGATTTCACTTACCCACAATGCTTATGAAAATATCATAAACGATTAAATGTTTCGCTCATTTTGAGGAAACAACTCTAGTCTTGATCATATAGAATTTACTCCTGTGCTTAAGACTCGTTCCATGTGTAATCTTATCCATTAAGGTATTGAGCACTTATCAGAATCATCTTCACCAATGTTCGTTGTTTTGAAACATGCGTTTACATGCGTCGTGAATTTCTTCACAATGTTTATCGTTGATGGAATAATTGGTTGAATTTGTAACAGTTTTCAGCGAATAGCGTCAGCAGCAACAACAATACAACAGTTTTTGGTGGAGCCAAACATTTGAATCGATCAGCAGTCTGTTTGCGTAGCAGTTGTGAATCATTCAAAAAGTTCAACTTCCTTACGGTCATCGATAAGGAAGAATTTCTAACATACGGCATTTTCAACGATAGCAGTAACAAAATAGCGAAGTGAAGTGAGGCAGTCGCATAGTGTGGATTCGGTAATTGCAGTTCGGAAACAAAAATGTCACAGCAACAAACGGGTCATTCAATTGTGAGTAGTGTTCAGTCATTCATGATTTTTCTTTTTTACGTATTCTCTTGTGATTAATTGATGTGTATTCATTCATTCATTTGCTGTTTATCTTTTTAGCTGTCTAATGAAGCGTTTCATTTTCGAACTTTACAGATCGCTTTTCGATCTTCTGATTTCATTTCATTACTTCATCTTTTTCTTCTTATAAGTCGCCTTTTCAATTAGAATGCGATCATTTTCCAGTGCAGTAATACGCATTTTTCATGGAGAAATGCTATCGTCATCTGTTTACTCACTGTCAGTTTGGTTTTAATTTCGGTGGAGGTGGATAGCTAGCTGTTCATTAATGATGGTATCATTCAGAAATGATATCATTCATAGTGGCAATATTATGGGGATGGGTTGGTGCGTTTTCGATGATTTTATGATATCGTTTGGAGCGATTGCAGTGACATATTATGGGTGGTTATTGATGCAAATTTATTGCGGGAATGTGGTACATGAACGCCTCATTTACATTTGAGAATTATTAGCAGTATTGTCGTTATTATTTGCATTGTTATTATCGTTATACCACATGCAATAATTGCAAAACTCTATGCCATTTCATGACAATTGATAGTTTGTGGAGATTTCACTACATATATCGTCCATACGACTGATGCACATCTATCGATATGAATGCGAGTGAAATAGTTTCAACACAATTCTGAGTGGTATTTAGAATAGAAGTATTGAAATCATTATGATTCGAATTTATGTCTGTTGATTGAAAATTAACTGATCCAATGAAACAACCGCATAAACCGGTTTATTACTCGATTCGTCGAACACGTTCTTGCCCTCTTCTAATCGTTCTTTTGAATGACGAAGTACAATGATTCAATAAGTGCTCAAAAAACATTTTAGAATGTGAGTTCGAAATTGTTTACATTTATCTAATGGTAGCAACATATCTCGTCAGCACTGATAAGAGCTAATCAATTAGGCTGACTGGATTATCAGGATGATTATAGGGGGATGGTACTGATGCTTTAAGAGACTATGATAGGTTTTTGGAATACTTATAGAACTAAATTGATAGCATAAGCCAATCGAATTTTTCGATGTTTTTTAATGAAAAAGGATTTATTGAAATATTTAGAGAATGTGGTAAATTCATAGTGAATGTTACAGTTAAGATTCACTACGAGTTCAATAATATGGAAGAGGAAATTATGATTGAAGTTCTGGAATTAGAATGACGGTATGGTATTTCAGCTATACCTGAAGCGTATTGCTCTAATTCTATAAAAGTATTTCTACGGTGTTAATTAGCTGATATTCAAGATTCCGCATAAAAATTTTTGTTCAACAAGTAATTATATCGAAATGAGCTATTGCGAGGATTTGAAAAAAATTGTGCTTTACAACGGAAATCTTGGCTCGGGAAGAGGTAGGCGAGGGGTTTGCGTGGCAGTTTTCGAAAAGTATTTGGAATATAGTGAACTGAATTCGGAAGTTTTCACAAAGGTAATGCGAAACCATACTTTTAAGTACAGCTATTTGCGGGTTTCAATGGAGTGCTCTTTTAGTAATTAGTGGATTCTCGTAGATTAACGTTATCCGTGGGTTGCAACGATTAATGTGGGTAGGAGAGATGGAAGGAAAGAAGTAACGGATAATACGGGTGACGATTCATCATCAAAATATAATGGAACGGGTGGGTGGCACAAGAGTGACGAGAATAGCGTTGTTTAAGGAGCATTATTGAATACAACCGAAAGAATTGCTTGGGTGTCATTTAAATAGAATTCGGCCGGAAATCTTTACACTGCGATTGGTTTTGAAAGGTGATGTTGTCTGTGTGCAGTGTGCCTTCTCAATGCCTCGTTTTCTTTTCTCATCATTTTCTTCAGAATTTTGATAGGGTTTTTTTGCTGATCGATTTGAACGAACGTTTTTGTGTGCAATTGAATGCAATTGATCACACAGTTTGACTGGATTCGAAGACATGTCTCATGCAAACACTCAAATGCTGCAGCAGTTGTCTTATACATTCCCCTTTATTTGCTTCATTCATTGTCTCGTTTTTTGATTTCTTTTCGTTGTCATTTAAGATTATTATTCATTCGTTTCAATCTGAGAAGTACTATTCTTCTCTTGCCATCTCAATTCCGATACGTTTTGATGGTTGATTTAAATTTCGTTCTGTCAATACCATTCGTCCATTTATTCAATCATTGATTCATTTCCTCTCTTTTACCGTGGTTGTTAAAATTCTTTTATTGTTATTATTATTATTATTATTATTATTATTCGTTTTCATGATATTATTCATGTGAAGAGTGAATACATTATATTTATTATTGTTATTAGTTTTATGACGACCATTATAAGAACATTGAGACGACACAGAAATAAATGATTGCACATGCACACAATTGAAAGATTGCAACCTGCCCATTATGAGAGACGAGACTGTCGCGTGGAGACAGGCACTGTTGTGTCAGACTCGTGTTCTAATGGAAATCACAGCGCACTTTCCAGTTTTAATGATTAATAAGGGAATAACAACAACAACACTTGAATAGAATGTATTCACTCAATATGAACATGATGAAATTAAACTTATCAAGGGAAGGGAACATTTGATGACGATGATGGTTTCAGGCGGATATTTACAAAGGTGTGATCAATGATGTGATAAGTCAAGTGAAAGAGGCATTCTTGGACGAGAATGTCGATGTGGATGTGCTACAGCAACTCAAGAAGGTTAATTGATCACTGGATTTTATCATCACTCTTGTCATTTGCATCGTTTGATATCACTATCTTCATTTGTATGCTAACTGATATCATTTCGATGCCCACTGATACATCAACTTGAAGGCCATTTCGGTTCAGAAGTAATTTTCGAGTAAATTCTAGGAATGGGAAGAAAAGTTGATGGCGAGTGGGAGTGTGGATTTGGAAGGTACAAAACCGGTGGCACCGCCACCAATTCGACAAATGAAACTACCGGCACAGTCGTCAACGTCGAACGCCACAACGATGTCATCATCGAATAATTCTGCAAATAATAGCAATAATAGTAACAGCAATAACAACAATAATGCCAACAATAACAGTAGCAGTAATAATAGTAATAGTAACAATAATAATATGAGTACGGCAACTAGCAGCAGTTCATTGGCAACTGCAACGACAACGCATATGATTGCTACGCCGCAAACAATTCCGGCTGGAAGCACTCTTCGAATTGCACAAGGCGGACAGGTCAGTGCTCTGTCACAAGGCGGATACAAGGTTGATCACAGCACTATAATACAGTACTTATTTACAGTTTGATTGATCATACGTAATAGTTTGATTGGTTAGATACTGGCGTAGCGATTGAATTTATACTGATAAGATGATATTGTTAAGATCGAGAGCACAGTTTGAGGGTATCGCTGAAATTATTTGGAGATATTTTCTGTGAGTAATGCAATCTGATCGTAAGATGGTAATGAGTTTTGTGGGTTGAGTTCTTTCGCAGCACCTAAACATTTATGATAGGTTTTCGTGAAACTTTTTCCTGGAGTGAGAGGTTTAATTATGTTTTATGAAAGAACCAAGCTGATTTATGTAGAACCAAGCTTTAGTCGTGACTGAGAACAGATTTATTTTGATTTTATTCTATTTTTTCAACAAATCGATTTCATAACGTTCAGTTTCCTTTCAGCACATTCTTGTTCAACAAGCCTCAGCCGCTCAATCAGCACAAACTCAACTAGGCACCCAGCCTACAACGATGGTAATGCAGACCACTTCAGGGGCTGGCGGAGCTCAGCAACTCCAACGACCCGTTCAACAAGTCCAGTATATTAGTGCCAGTTCACTGCCAATCACCACAGATCCAAATTCGCTGCCGCAAGTTGTTCAATTACAACATGTAAGATTTCCATCGAGAATTGCTTACACTATCGAAAAATCTTTCAAAACAAGTTTTTCCAAGTTTGATTCATTTCACTCAGATTTGTTCTGGTATTTTGATTCAATGTGTCCAGTTTATTGCATCAGATTATGACTGATTGTGAGTGGTTATGTTCATGTAACATTTTAATTATCTTAGTGATCGCATCAGAAATTTTCTTTCTTTTAACGAACTGTAAACTTTCGTCAAGATGGTGTAATATGGTACAACTAATTTTCTGCTGATTCTAATATTGGTTCGATATTAAGCGGAACGTGATGGCGGCTGGTTTCCAACGACCACAACTCGGACAAGCTACCTCACAAGCAACCATCTCAACGATTCCCTCGGGTATGATCGCCTTCCAGCCCGGACCAGGTGCACGTATCATTCAACAAGGTGGTCAGCAATATATCATGCATAGTGAGTTGTTTGTTTGCATTTGTTGGTGTGGAGAATATTTTGACGGTTTTGGCGAGATTTGAGATAGAGTAGGTTAATGTTTTTCATAGAGGGGTGTTCAGTATGATTGTCCATCTCGGTACCTATTGTAATCTTTTTTTCTGCTGATATGATGACAAATGTAAGAACCAAGTTTCTGTCACTGTTGAGAGCAGATTTATTTTGATTTTTTTTAAAATTTTCTCACCAAGGCGATGTCGTATCATGTCGCCTCTCATTGGTAATATTGATGTGTCATCAACTTGGTAATATATTTCACTTTTAGTGATATCCAAAAAATATCCCTCTGGGTGCAATTACTAATCAATTAATGAATGAATGAACATTGTAGCGAATTTAGGTGGACCGGCAAATAGTGTAATGATTGTGAATGCAAACGGTCAACAAATACCAGTGACCCTGGCATCAGCAACGATGCTGCAGCAAGGGAGAATCGCCGCTCATGGACAGTTGAATCCGAAAATTGAGAGCGCCAGTGGAGTGCCACAGATGGACGGGGCTGGATTCGTGTCAACAGAATACGATCAACAAGTGGACGGTGTCGATGATCAACCCGGCTCTTCGGGTATCCAGAAAATGGCTGAAGCATTACGAACGATCAAAATCGAAGCTGCTGCTGCTGCTCGAAAAGGTCTTCCTCATCATTTATTTCAGTTTATTATTTGCTGATAAATAAATTTGTAATGATTAAATGACAGTTGAATTCTGTTGAATCATTGACAGTGGATGGATTGTGAGCATATTGCATTGTAGAAACGTTAATTTTTAAAATCGAATGTAAGCAGATGAATGAGCGAACGAATAACGTGCCGTTTAGATTGTGACAAATTCAACTGTGCAATGATCGGACGCTGACATTTGCAGATGTAAATGCAAATGTGATAAACGCAAATACATACATCTAATTAAAGTGTGTAAAGCGAATGTATGAGTTAATGAGTAAATGAATTGCAGGCACGGGTAAGCGAGCACGTCAGCTGGTGCAATTGGATGGTGCGAGTCGTATCAGTGATTCGTCATCTGACGAGGAGGACGTCGATGAGGATGATGATGACGATCCGTTGAGGAGAATCGCCGATCGAATCGGTGACGACGGCACAGCGAATGATGACGATGAACAAGTATGTGTTGTAGTGTTAGTGGGTGATTTTGGGTAGATGACATTGATAACTTTTATCAGATAATGCTGGTTGCATTTGAGCAGTGGTAGTGATTCTGGTAGTTTTTTGTGGAGATTGCTGATTTGATATTCAGCTAGATAACGTTGGTTATTTCATCTGATATTGAGTAGATAGCACTGATAATTCTACTAACAATAAGTATTGAGTGGTTAATTAATCGCTCGGTGGTAGAGAGGAATCATTCAGATAATATTAATAATTTCATCTAATGTCTGCGTATCGACTCTTAAGTTAATCCAAAATGGGGTTCAGGAATGTTGGGAGATCATTGAAATACTCTCACAATCAGTAGATATGTTTGATTCAGTGCACTGTATTTATGAGGTGTGTAGATATGAGTATTCATTTGAATAAGTTATTTTTGATTGAATATTGTAGGTAGTTGAGGAAGATCCATTGAACAGTGGCGATGACCAGAGCGATGATGAGGATGTGGAAAGGTTGTTCGAAGCAGATAACGTTGTGATGTGTCAGTTTGAGAAGGTAATTTACATTTATGTTGTGCAGTTCTGTAGAGTTTGTTGAAGATGTGAGTCGTTTAGTGGGATTTCGTGAGATTCTCTGAAACAGTATGTTGACTTACGAATAATATGTCATGAGAGAGATTTTTCGGATTTCATTTGTTATGGGCGAACCTTTTTTAATCGTAGTGCCATCTTTTTTGCTCCGTTTTCTCGGAGATCTTTCTAGTTTTATAGTGGATAAGATGTTTGTTTTCGTCAGAGAGAAGAATTGAGCTTACTGAAGTCTGATTGTAAGGTTCATATTCTGAATTTTATCTTATTATCGTTCACAGGTACATCGCGCACGTAGCAAGTGGAAGTTCACGTTGAAAGACGGTATAATGCATATTCAAGGAAAAGATTACTGCTTTCAACGTTGTTCGGGTGAAGCCGAGTGGTGAGGGACAGATTCGAGCGGTTGAAAGATGTTTCTGATCGACGCAAACGGCAAACAATATGCTCATAGCTCCTGCTAACTCTCGTTTTCTGTGGAATACATCTGATCTGTTGAGAAATTGCTAAAGTTAATACTGCAAAAAGCTTTGTTCAGCACTTTGCCTCTCTGCTGATTGTTCTCAAAGCTTTATTTTATTCTTATTATTAATTATGTTTTGGCTCATTTCTGTTAGCAAATTTCTTCACGTAGAAGTATATTTTTGTCAAGAAAATTTATGTTGAATAACGTATAATTTTAAAACTCTAGGAATGGCTAAGTTTTTCCTCTTTTATGCGTAATTTGTGATGAACAAGCAGAATTTTTCAATCGAACGCTCTGGATTTATCTAATCGTATAATATGTAATAAACGCCATTAATTCCTACCCCATTTCACGTCTGGTTGACTTTAGAGTGAACGTTATGGATCTTAAAGAAAAATAGAAACCAAATTCTGAGTCTGTTGAAATATCCTTCTACGAATTTCCATTCTTCTCTGTTTGTTGTATACTGGAAATTTTGCTTCCTCTCAAACTGAAACCCCTCTGAACGTCTGTTCGTCTCAAGTTAACAGCTTCTGGCTGGGCCTCAATGCTACAACAGAATTCCGTAATATCAACAAACAATGCCCAGTGATTTCATAGTCCAGTTGTGTGCGTGATAACTACACGAAAAGCATGCTTTGGATCCCCGTATACTTAATGCACAATTCTAATATTGTACAAATCTATAATTTTCCATCTATCGGCTCAACAGCAAAAACACACTGTGCCTTGTGATTTATAGTTGGTTGTCTTTTTTTAGACAGACAACATTTTTGAAGTCAATTTTAAATTTTTCAAAAAGAAATATTGTTTTAATCTTGTTTTGTTTCGACTTGTTATTAATTTCTTGAAATAATTTTCATTTCATTGTGCTGCTTCCTATCGCACGGTTGTTTCTAAATTCTCATTCTTACTTTGTTTCATACGTGATCACCTATCATACAATAGTTTTGGTGCACCTATGCGCTACTGCAAAGATGGGCAATAGTACGTTATCTCTACTGAGCAGAACATAACGACATAGTTATTCCGCTAGTAGGATAGCGCACTATTGTCCATCTCTGTGCCACTGTTATAGTTGGGTGCATGCAGTCAAGTTCAACTTATTGTATTGCACATTGTAAAGAATTGAGAATTGCTTCGTTTCTTTTCAATTGATGTTTCACGATGGGCAATCACTGCAAAACCGTTTTATTGAAGTAACGTTAAATTATTTTGACTGCAGCAATGAATCGGATGTTCAGTCGAGTTGAAGTTGTTATTGTTTTAAATTTGTGAGAATGAAACGGTTGTCAAATGGATAATGGAATTTGTTTTATAAATTCAGTTGATTTTATGAAACGTATTTGTGAATTCTTCCATTTAGTGTGCATGTTCCGGTGTAGTAAACGAATGTAGTCGAAATTCGTCATTGTTTGGTGTTTTATTTATTGCTTTGGGCACTTCCTCTCATTGCGGTTTACTTCGTGTTTATTGTTTATGAGATCGTGAAAATCGGATCAGATCATAAAAATTTTATGTGAAAATGGTTTTAAAAAACTTTGTGAAACTATCTAGCCATAAGCTGCCAGCAGGTGGATTCGTGTTACTTCGCTGTCGTGAAATCGCATCGGGAGAGTTTTTTGGATGTATTTCTGCGATTGTTGATGTTAGATCCAAGAAACCCACTATCATTTCAACTCTTGAATACAACCCTATCTTCGTTCCTGTTCATGTTTTTCGTTGTTTTATTATTCTCTCATAGTTTTACTGATTCGTTTCGTTTATTTTATCCTTTATTTAGAGTTCCTGTTCGAGGCTATCCATTTGATATTTGGTGTCTGATATTCATTTCCTCTGTCTGTTTCTGTTTTTTTTTGCCAATTACATTGTCCGGAAAACTTTATGAATATGTTGACAACTATATCATCATGAAAATGATTACGTGATGTTTGATGCTTCTATGATTCGTTCGTTAATTACATCATATTTTATATAAAGTTTCATTACGTTTCGTTTTTTGTTTGACGTTATCAATGAAGAATTTTAATTTTAATGTATTTTTGAAAAACTTCTCAAAATCTGCAAATATTGTCGTTGATTGAGCGATTCTTGAATATTGCTTGCAATGGTGCGACATTGATGCTTGGTGTTGTTCGTTCGTTGTTATTCGTTGAAAGCGGAAAGATTTCAGTCTTATGCGCTGTGCACTTCACTCTATTTTCCACAAGATTTGTTTTCATATCCTCTTTCGATATTTGATAGAGTTATTATTCATTTTATTGCCATTGTGACACATCATCACCCTTGTTGTGCTCCAAAATCGGTGAATAAAGAAGCTTCTGCGAACACTTCAATATGATCTTATTGAATTTCAATGTCAACTGATTCGATGTCCTAACCATTCGTCAACAAGCAACCAGCTGCTGCTTGAAATTTTGGGATTATTGAAAAACATCAAATCGGATATCAACCATCGAATCAAACTGAAGAGATCGTTGAAAAAGTTCATTCAAAGTAATTAATGTTTCAAAGAGTGGGCTCAATTCCGCAGTTTCTGCTTGTAGAGCTACTCACAATTAGTCTGATGAAGAGGTAATTGATCAACTGCAATTTATAGAATCAACACGAAATTTCCCATTTTTCTTTAATTTACAACTAAAGTAAGTCTATTTTGTGTCTCTTTTCCGCAAACACATGTTGAATACATTTAAATTTGTTGTGTCAGGTTAATTATAACATATGAACAACAAGACTGGTTGGTAGGCACTCGAATTTATTCTCGAGAATGCAAATGGAATGAATGAAAAACACATTTGTTATTACACAGAAAACGTCATTCAAATATAAATTTACGTCGAAGAAAAAAATCAAAACTCACATGCAAATGAGACATCAGATAAGACAAAAACTTGAAAAAGTTTGTTGAGTTTATAGGACTGAGATTTGAAGGAAGGAATAATTTTTTATTCTGTGGCTGAAAATGTCATTTGATGAGGATTAGAGTCGGAACTGTGGAATTCTGATGGTAATTTTATTAAAATGATGAAATTAAATGAGGGCGTTGATCGGAAATGTGAATCGCGATGAAATACCACCGTTCAGNAAGGCATTGTGTTTCATTAGCAGACTCCCTCAAAATGCTTTGAAATAACATAAGAATGGATACATAACACGGTTGCATTCAAGCTCAATGATGAACTGCATATAGGAGACAAACGTAACAGAAACATTGAATTTTATGGGGACGAAATCATACAGAGATCAAGAACACGACGCTGACTATCAAAACTAAATGGAAGGCCGCTGGGTGTGATGAATGAGAACGAATGAGCTGTCCTTATCCATATCAATGGAGTTGGATATGCGTAGAGATTTTGTCGGATAAACTTTTTGATTGGAACCAATAAACGATGCAATAAAAACAAAATAACAAGCCAAATATCAGGATAAGAGAAAATCGAAAAATCTTAATGCTTCTACATTCCCACATTATATTTTATACTAGAAACCCATACGATGGATTACTGAAAATGGGCATCGATAGGCATAATATGACGTAATTTATGCAGAGTTTGCTCTCAGGTAGTCAAAAAATTCGTCTGAATAGGTGCAAATTTCATGGAACAGCTCCGGTGTTTGTTGTTGAGTTGTTGTTCGGCATTCATCAGTCCTCTTCACGTGTAAACCAAACATAATAAAGCCAATACGATACCGAGAAGATGAGAAAAACGGTCGGAAAGACACTTCGGCTATCTGAAGAAAATTGTCATTACTCATTTTGATATCATCTCGATCAAAATTGATTCTGGAACAGATAACGATCCAGATCTGAGCAAGTTTGACTGAAAAATGTAGCAGCCAGCATATTTCGAAATACTGAAACATTTCAAGTGCATTCAAACTATTTTCGAAGTGTTTTCAGCAACTGTTTCTTCACTGCGTAATCGTTCTCGAACAACAACAACACTGATTCATCTCGAAAACTGTTGATTTCAGCTCTGATCTGAAGTTCTTTTATGCCACCACACTAACAACAAATTTCCATCGCATTGCCTCAACTCAATGAATACATTCAGTCTTTTGTCCTTTCATTGAATTTTATCTTCTAATCAACAATGCAAATATTCTTTGCTTGTTTTCCCACTTTTGTCGTCAGTTTTCGGATCGATCCAAATTTGCACATTCCATAAAGCAATTTCCTGTTTTATCATCATCATCAATTTTGAGAAACATTTATTCCTCTGTGCGGATGAATGTTGTTGCTTCATTTATTGGCTCTATTCGAATGTGGTGCCTCTTAATGGTAGCAATAATTGCTTGACCATTTCGAGTGATGTGCAAATTACGTTTTGGTGAGGGAAAAAAATAGAGACGAAATTAGATAGAAAACGAAAAAAAAGCAATTATATGAAACGATGGATAGATGAGTGTGGATAGATGTCTGTGAGGGAATTTATGTTCGTTGGAAAGTTTTGGGGGGTTAAAATGCAATGAATTGACTTACATTTATCGATTTGTCTCGCAATGAATTCATTTGCAGTTGCACACTTTTGACACGGTTTTGACGGGTCGAATTTATTGAAGAACGAACTGCTCACTTGCGGTGTCGCTGACATTAGAGCCTGAATTTGGCAGATTTATCACATTTGGAGACATCCAATGGGATATTCCATGACTACGATCATGATACTCTCTCAATTTTGTTATCCAAAAAAAAAACGATCGCATCCAACAGCGGCGAGCAAACAGACGATATCCATAGAGAGCAGCAGCCGAATCAATTGAAACTTCATAAACATCTGCTTTTAATTTATGGGTTTAAGCACTTACAAAGTTCATTAAGCCTCCGACTCAAATGGGGATAGATGTATGGCAATAATCGGCATTCGCCGAAATACATTTGAAGGACAAGAGGTTTCCGTTGTCATGCGAAACGAGAGGATTGGGCAAGCTTGAAGGGAGGAAAAGTACCGCGTTAAGCAAAATTTTTAGCAAAATCTACCATGAAAAATTCTCGAACTGGGGCTCATGTTCTGCATGGAATTTATGAAAATGTTGTTCTTGAATATGAAATCATTGTTGAGGGTAGGGTGACTTTATGTAAGCATTCGAGAAACGTACATTTGTTCGAGTAATTCAATTGACCAAATGAGAAACATGCATTACGAATGCAAATCAATAATGGAGAGTATCAATCATAATCGAATTTCTCAAAAAAAATGCAAGAAAAACAAAAAAACTTGAACATGGCATTATTTGAAAAGAGTGTAAGTACTTGCTTGCTATCATGGCATCAAAATCAAAATTCTCGACACCATGACAAATCAGACGAAAGAAAAAACGTCCGAAATAAGAAGTGCTCTAAACATGCTCTTGTCAAACCTTTGTCATTCATCGTTAACTCTATGAAAACTTCGCAAGACACCTAATCAAATTTTCTGATCCATTCAAAATGCACCAATACAATTACCACCATTCAATATGCCCAGCAATCATTAGGAAATAACTTAAAATATATCATTCAATTGTCAAACATCGCATCATCATTACCATGAAGGAAACAACGACAGTATGAAAACTGTTGTTGAGAAGAGGGATTAAATCATAACATGTTCGTATATCTGCCAGATATTGAAACAGGTCAAATGCTCCTAAACTGATCATGCGATTGAAAGTCTGGTCGTACCACATTCATGTAAGTTGATTAGAATCAGTCAACCATTAAAAACGACATAATGCATTTTTCAGTGACGTTATACGAAAAAGAAATAGCGTTAACGTTCGAATTGGGAATGAGTTCATCGGGAAGAAATTGACGAAAAATAGGAATGCATTATGCATGTTCAGGTGATTGCATATCGCGATTGCTTGACTCGATCAGTGTTGATGAGATAAATTCGATGCATGCTACTACCATAACAGTCATGCTGAAATTCAAAAATGCCATTATTTGAAAGCATAGAATCGGACGTGGCCACTTGAACAGGAATTCAATTCACAGATCAGGTAGTTCACAGGTTTTCGATATCAACTGATAAGTATCTGAATCTCGGAGTATCTGCAGTGGATTTATAACAGTCACAAAACTGCGAAACAATGACTACTTGCAATAAAAATTTTTTCGGGTACGTTACCAATAAAGCTACACAAAGTCAATCACCCAGTTTAGATGGAATTGAAGGTGGAGTGGTATACAAATACTGATTATAATACGAAATGAGGAGGATTCAAGTCAATTGACGTGTACACAGCCAAACGATCAAGCCGCTTATGCATCTTCACCGTCCACTCGAAGAGGAATTCACCAATCGATGCAAATCTACTTGATGATCAGCAATAATTTTGACAAAAACTGCTTGATGCTTTCAGTTCAAACCACCGATAACGCATGCGAGTATCAGTTCTGCTAGGACACGGACCATCCACGAATCGAATCAAATGCAAATTCGACTGAAGTATAAACTGAGATTTTGCTCGTTCCTACAGCATATACTCATCACCACCATTACATCATTCACCTATATTGGCATTCGCACATTCACGAACTCACGTTTAGCTCTTCATCAAATTCATCCACTCTCGAATGCCAAGTGTTCTTTCGACCGACTGCGGTGGCTCGACACAACACCTGAGTTTTCGTTTGTGACTCATCAAACAGAGTCTTTCTTGAGTGTTAGAGCTTGACTTAAAATTAGAGCTAGTTTCTTAAAACGCTTGGCTGATTCATAGATGTCCACGAATCAAGTGAAATGAATCGCTTAAACTAAATATGCAGCTGAAGCGCGATTGAAGACGGTTGAGTCTCGATCAGAACTGATCTCGAGATCACAAACTGCCAACCATCAAAGGATCAAAATTGGCTATTGCCTTTTACAATAAAGAGACTTTTAAAACTGATCCCGTCAAATACTGCTTACAAAAGTGTTGTATATGCGATCACTTTGAAGAGTGCCACGTGAAAATTTCTCAAGCTGAAAACTGAAATAAGTTGTCAAAAATGCTAAATGAGGCAAAAAAGTCGCTATTGCTAATACGGATGCAAAATATTATGGATGAAACGAAATCCTTGGTGCATTTGCTTGATTCGGGTGTTAGGTTATGGCTCATTCCAGTTGCTTCAACCGGGCATTGAAAGCGAACATTTTCATGCTGCTAATCGTTGCGTTGATCTCTGACGATCACTGACTGCAGTCGTGAGTTGGCTTATAGTTCTGTGCCCCTAAAGGTATATGCTGTGTCCTTTCGAACCTAACTACCCCCTAAACGTTAGCCTACTACGAACGCCACATGAAAATACACCTCTGAAATGAATTCCTAGACTGTGTGCTTATCATAAGCACAGAGTGCGTAATTTCCGAAAGCGTGGTTCAAAGCGAGTAGAATTAGGCATCTCAAAATTTTTGTTTCTCTCAAAAATATGCACGATCAACGGAATCTACTACCTGTGTGATTGGAACCGAATAAAGCAAAACTATTCGAAGGGATCAATCCTGTCGAATAAAAACAACAAAGACATATACCATTGTTACTTAAAGCTAGCTGCACCGTAGTGTGAGAATAAGTGAAAGGGATAGACGAAAGAAGTGGTTGAAGATCGAAGAAATTCAAGTGAAAGCGTGAAATAAAGATGATATAAGATTGGATTGGTACTATTGGCATACCGCTGTATTCTGCATGCATTTTGCAAGTCCAGTGCTCATTGCATAATGGGAGTGTTGATGCGCGTGATGAGTGTGATGGTGCTGCCGGGTTGTGCCGTTATCGCTCGAACAGCGACGTGTGCCGCCGACTGGACTTGATGGCACCGGTTTCCGCTAAAATTTGCACCGATTTTTAGGCGTTCACACGAATGCTTCCATTCACCAATTTGTCACACATCAGTTCAATTGCCCAGTGTGCAATAACGAATGGTGCAAACTGGAACGTCTGAGAAATTTGTAATGTTGTTCTTAGGCTAATAGCAAACAAAAATTCATCAAGCGATCCACTGATCAAGCAACAAATCAGTGCACATCATTGGAATGCAGAAAAAGATCAGATCAAGCTCCAATGAGTTGCTACAAATGACAGATTTGACAGATCCAATAGCAGAACATTCCCAAAGTTTAACAGTGCTCTAGAATAGTGGTTCTCACGTTCGGGTGCTCCATTACCCCTTTTGATGATCTGGCAGACTATTGCTACCCCCCTCCCCCTCCCCCAATTGAATATGGAAATCGCATATGTTATGTTCAGATGACCGTTATGTTCAATCTTGTTAGCATGTTCATAGTGACAATCGACATTGCTGGACTTCCTCTTAGACCGTTGTGTTGCTCATCATTGCAATTGATTATGATTGCATGAAAAGTTATTGTCTATGACACGCTCACTTCAAACTGATTAAGATAGATTCTCATTCTTTTCAGACGTGTT